TTGCTCTTTATGGTGGGGCTTCTGTCACTATCATCCCTCTTTCCTCATTATCTTCTTTTTTTTTGGTGCCTTTGATATGGGATGATCTATTTTGCATAGCCTGCTGTAGGTAAGGGTAGATCTCTGATTTAAGTGATGTAATCATTGTAAAAAATTGTAAAGATTTCTTCGTTCCACCCCAGGAAGCATTTAAGCATGAAGCGTTAGCAGAAAGTTACAGTGCTGGTAGGGGTCACCTGGATAGTCAAACAGGTAGTGTTTGTTTTGGTGGACTTGGTGTTCCACCACTTACGCACTGTAGTGCAGGGACTAGGAGGTGAGGGTGTGCTTTTGATCTTTCTGTGTGATTTGTAAAAATGTACTTCATGCATTTTTACCCTTGCTAGATGCATATGTAACGGTTTAAGAATAACAACAATGCGTTGAATTTTTAAGAATAACAGCAATGCATTCTGCTGTATGTCTTTGTTCTACTGATACTGTGCTGTTCCTCATTACTTTTTTGTTTGTAGCCCTTAGGTTGATTAAACTGCATCAACTCAACTGAGACTGAGTTGCAGAGATGGTAATCTCATGTGCGATACCGTTGGCGTTTCCTGTTCAGTATTGCACAAGCGCTTTGAGCTTGTTTTCAAATTGCAAGTGCAGAAACCTTGTTACCATGTGACTTAGACCACTCTTCCTGTTGAAAGGGACTGTCTTTGACTAACTCTCAAGGCTATCAAATTGTAACAGTTCAAAATCTGCTTGGTGCATGCTTGGGTTTTTGAGCTGTACCATATGATCTCCATGTCAGCTTTTCATCATTTCTTTTTAAGCAGGGTGAATATTGTGCCATTTTTTTACTACTCCTTCTGTTAGCTTCCTGCCAAGTGATAATGATTCTGCCAAACAATTCTATTTTGTACGTATTGTCATAGACATAGTGCTGTGTTGTCTTATGTCAGCGTGCAAATCACAAAACTTTCTTCATTCTTAAAAAAAAGTTGTTCTATTATTCTCTCTAGTATCTTAACAAATAAAAATGTATGTAACCATGCAAAAATCGCATCCTGATTTTAATGATAGAAGGAAAGGTGATGCTGCTTCACCTGTCAGTGGATGACACTAAATAACACAGGTGAAGTTGTACTTAACCCTAGTGAGATTGTGCATCTTGAGACTGAGTTCAAGGACTGTTTCTCCATTCTTGCATCTGAGCAAGAAATTTCTCAGTATTTTTCTTTGTTGCCCTTGAGTACTGGACCATCCCCATGGGAAAACAGTGTTGTTCACTATCAGCAAAGTACATTGCTCATGCACACGCAGCAAGTTGGACCAGGGAGTGTATGGATCCATCCCTGTAGGCTAGCTTGCTTTCTGTGCATCTGCCAAATTTTGCTGGGTTTTGAAGCGAGATAACTTCACTCCAGCTTCCCAGCACATAGCTCAAAGAATGTATAGATTTACGTCTCAATTTCAAAATAAGGGTATATAGGGAATAGATATTTAGAAGAGGGAAGAAGTTTTTGTGCAGGTCTGTTGCCAAGTTTAGGAATCCAGTGCACAGGAGTTTTGTACTGTCATCCAGGGCAGGAGGGCTGGTTCTTGTGAAAACAAAATGGTTGGAAACCCCCTCACAGAGCACCTGAATGGTTGCAGTAGGTCTTTGGAAATTACAACAAATCATGTGACAGAGAAAAGACAGACACCATAAAAGGCAGACTCGAGCAGGTAAGGAGAAGTAAGAACAAATACACAGAAACCACTTTTTTTTTAATCAGGTGAGCTAACATGCAAAGATGTTAGAAGTACAAAGATACAGTAAAATAAAGGGTTTTGTTATTCCCATCTTGATTTAGATTTAAATTATTTTTATCAGTAAAGAGGCTGCTAAATCTGAAATTGAAAAGGCAAAAACCCAATAGGTCTAGGAGGTCTGGGGGAGTTCTGGTAAATGGTGGAGTGAATAAATGCATTGATAAGTCAAAATACAGTGAGTCGATGTATGAGTATGTATCATATAAACCTGTGAGGGTTTAATATGTGTAAACTAAATAGTGAGGCTTTGTGGTAAGAATAGCAAGCTGAAGAGAAAATGCCCTCACCCATTAGATATATACTATAAGAAAGGTGGGAGTATTTTTTAAGAGGGGAAAAAAAAAGTTTTTCCTGAGATCTCACTGCAGATTTGAGAATGTGAAATTTGGTTGGAAATAAAAGTCAAGGAAATACCTTTGCCTGTATGCTTGGTGTTACTTCAAAATGTGGTCTAGAAAAAAAAAATCAGTTTGAAAACCAGTCACTTTTAAAATAGGTTAGATTTCACATGTATGCCTTCCCACAAGCCCCTGCTTAGCATGCTTATTCTTGACAACCACAATTTCCTCTTTTTATTTTAATTCTGAATATTTTGTGATTTCAATCTTATGAATAACATGAGAAACTTACTGTAAAGGTACTGTACTTTTTGTTCTCTTCAATGTATTGTAGTTGTTAGTGATTTTAAGAGTTACCAGTATTAGTACTATATACAGAATAACCTGACAGACAAGTTACTCTTTAGTGGATATAGAGGAGAACTGAGTATGAAACTTGATATTCTTCTGGGGACTTTGATAAATCTTTCCCCGTTTTTTGTTAACGATAGCTCATACACCCGTAGGTTTCACTTTGAGTTTCTAGTTTGAATAAGTTCAAGGTTATTTATAAAAGTCAAAAGAATTTGATGGTCTAAAATGCAGCAACATCTTCTGTGAATGGGATAGTTCAAAAATCTGTATCCTGCCTTGTCTGTTTGTTCCTTCTGTGGCAATCAAATAAAAGAAACAGAAGTTACTGTGGAGAGGAGTCAAAGAAGAGGAAACTGGACAGATACTCTTTTGCAGTTCTGCATTTTGGTGACTCGATTTACTGTCTTTTGTCAAGCTTTTCTAGCTCTTATAAAAATCCGTGATGAATTTGCAGGGTTCTCATATCAGTTTAAGAGATCATTCAGTGTGTTTTAACATAAGAATATTTCCAGGGTTTTTGCTGATTGTGATGTTAATTTTGTCTTCCTGAATGCAATCAGTAAAAAATTAAGATAAAAGAAAGGTACCGGCAGGGGCAATGTCTTGGTGACAACCTGGCTTTGTCAGCCTGGTGGTGATGATGGATGTCTGTTCATTGAAAGTGACACATATTTCCTTCTCAGAACATATGCTCAGGCCTTCTCCCTTCTCCTATGAGCCTAATGTAAAACAAAACAAAACAAAACAAACCCTAGTATTAAATATTATTTATTTGAATTGATAAGGGAAAGGCATCAGTGACAAATTCAGCTCCAATTTACACTGGAAGTTCTTACAGAATTCCTTGCACATTTCTTTTTTTATAAGATTACATTGTTTTCCTTATGGATTAAATGTGTCTGAAGATTCATAATGTCATGTAATTGCAAAGAAAGAAGCTCTAAATTTACTAGAACCTAAAGATCCTGTGATTTGGTGAAAATACTGAATAATCTAATATTCGCTTCTCTGCCTCCCTATCCTCCCTTTTTTTTTGTTCACTCCTGAAGAAGGTTCTTAGTGTTTTGTTTGGGTTTGTTTTTTTTTTTTTCCTTTTAGACAAGTTTTACTCCTCCTCTTGATGAGGTCTCCTCATTGTAAACCAATAGTATCTTTTTTTTTTTTCTTTCCATTTTTATATTTCTGTTCTGGAAAAATAAAGCAGAATTTCAGTTTGTTAAAGGCACCAGTATGAAGACTTTTTCCTGCAGGTAGATCTAGCCAGTGCTTAAAAACCCCACAGAAATATACAAATGGTTAGAGCTGATAAGATTCTCCCAGCAGATACTTTGTTCTCTTTGATAAGAAAACAGGAAAATGTAAAATTATTCAGTATTATTTAAGCCCTAATGAGATACTTGTCAGTATGAACTGAAGCTCCCATTTTTTGTCACATAACAAATCTGACTTTGCTCTGCCTGATCAAATAAGTGTCATTTTATCTATCCTTTTCACGAAAATTGATTCTCCAAGTGCCAGGTGTGTAGGAAGCTACACAGCTGTTGGTTCAAATAAATGAATTAAGATTCAGTAGTACCCAGCCACTGTACTGCTGAATCTACAGAAATGGAATTTTACATAGAAATTTCTGTAGGCTAACTGTGAATCAGAGAGAGAGAGTGAGCCATCCAGTGTGGGGTTGTCAGCTGGATATGAAGCAGACAACGTGACTTTAGCTCTCCATTCACTTTGTCAAGTGTGACATCTTCCATTACATGGACATAACTGTGATCTATCTACCAGTGGGCTAGGGTTACTCTCAGCCTTGCCAACCATATCCTATTATGACGTCTTTAACTCCATCGAGTTCCCAAATCTTTAAGTCTTTGATTTCTGGGATCTGAGCGAACTGTGAAAGTTCAAAGTCCACTTCTGGGTTGCCTGTGACTTGTTATACCAGCTACAAAAAATGTAAGCAGATAGGATGTGTCTGAGCCTGACTGCTGAAAGCTATAGATACGTACTCCTCAGGAGTTCTGGTGTCAGAGCTAACACAGATGGTAAGTGGACAAATGGACAGACCAGTCTTGCTTATGTTGATGTCAGAAAGACCAAGTCCAAAGGAGGCAGATCAGCTCAGATTGTTCCAGTATTAGCTATCATGTTAAAGACATGCTACCACATAATTCTCAAGCAAAAGATACTGACTTCAGTGGTTCAGTGACCTTTATTATTTAACTGTGGAATAGTTACATGACTTAACATGTTCTGTTAAATGAAGAGCAATAAGGTGGAAGAACAAGATACCTGCTGGTCTTCCTTTCTTACCAGGCTTTATGATCATTAGAGTTGTTCCTGTCCTGTGCACTAGCCCACTAGTGGAGTTTTTTGCAAGTCATGAACAGTTGTTCTAAAGTTAATTGGAAATACAGTATAAAGGAACCTTCCATATCCTCTGGGTTTGGCTGCTGCTGGCTTTGAAGTGAACTTGTGATAATTCCTTGTTCGTGATTTTTTTTTTTCTTTCAGATGGAGCAAACCTGTGATGATATAGATGAAATGTTCAGCAATTTACTTGGGGAGATGGACATGCTGACTCAGGTAAATTATGGAGTTTTTTATCTAGATGAGAAAAATAGCTGTTATGTGTTAGAGAAAAGAGGTGACTTTTCTACATTTTTCATGTACCTCCACTCTGAATAAATACAGATACACTGTAGACTTTTTATTTGAAAAAAACCCAAACAAATAAGCAATTTAAATTCTCCTGGACTTGATCCAAAGAAATTGAAAGATCCTGTCAAAACAGGAAGAGTTTGAGTGAGAATCTTCAGGAATGAATGCTTTGCACACATGGGTAAAAGGGATGTAGCCTGAATGTCAAATGTAAACTTTGGAAATGAAAGCCACATTTATGAAGATATGCAGAAGAGTGAATCTTTAGATATGGCAAAATATTGAGCTGCTAAGCAAGGGTAGCATTCAAGAATATAGAGACATTATTGCCCCTGCTGCAGTGCAAGCCTACTGCTAAACCTATAGTCATGGAAAACATCCTACAAAACCTGATGAAAGGAGAATTTTCTTTCACAAAGTCAGTAACTTTGTTGTAGTTTAATAATATTATTCTTGAAACCACTTAAGCTGTTGTCTTGGATTCTGTGTGAGTTTGATTGCTTACAGCCTCTGATTTGAGGGGTCCTTCATCTTAGTGAATCCCAATGCTTGCCAAACTGAATACCAACAGTTCTGAGCCACTGAACAGAAATTGTGCATCAGCTGTTTGAAAGCCAAAATTTAACTTGACATTCTTAGCAGTCAGATCACAGTACTTTGCCCCTTGGTAGCCCTTCTGCTTTTTAAGGGCTTTTTATAACTTTGCATATTTATTTTATATATATATGTATATAAAGGGAGAGTGGTTTAGGATAGCTTAATTTCAATATTATGCCTTGAAAATCAACAAAAGACTATGTGTCATAAGTATTACCTCCTCAGATTGGACACAGCACTCTCATGAGGTCAGGTGATGGGAACAGAGTAAGAGAGTGAGCCCCTTCTCTCTCTGCTCATAGGTTCAGTACTGGGTAGGACAAGGTCCTAAGATGGAGACTGACTCTTTCTCCTCTCTAAAATGCTGACATCACCTCTTACCTCAGTATTGTATGGGAAGAGGAGACAGGCATATCTGAAAGCCTGAAGACTTTCAGTTAACAGACTTGCATCTGTTAGTTCATCTAGACTCTTAAATTTCCAAAATGAGACTGTGGATAGTTTTTCACTCTTTTTTGTCTATCTGTTCCTAAAGTTAGTGTAAATTATAGAAACACACAGAATTGCCTTCACATTGCATAAAAAGGCTGAAAAATAAATTCAAATTTAGAATTGGACTTTTCGGCTGGTTTTATGTACTACTTTTCTTTTTTTTTCTTAGCATTTTATTGTTTTCTGTTCAATTTCCCCTTGCATTTACTTTCTTCTTTTCATTTTTTTCCTCCACTTTTATGGCCTTTAAGATGCTACAGCTTCTTGATAGGTTAGTGATGAGAGTGTTCCTTGTAAGCTCTTACAGTCTGTTTCATCAGTACATTTTCCTTTCTCGCTGTCTTTTTCGTGGGCATTGTAGAACTATCTTGTGTTCTTAATTTCTTCCTCTTGCCCTATTTATACATTGTCTATTTTGATGAGAGTGAGTATTAAACCAGAAACAGTGTTTAAAGCTATCACTGCTTTGATTTCCAGCTCTGTATAACTTCAGAAGAAACCAGCATATCCTGGGTGGGAAACAGGTGAAAAGAGCTGCCAAGAAAAATATTTGCATTAATTTTCATGGAAAACACCCTTCTATTTCAGGCAGCTGTTAAGAAGTGTAAATGCTCTGGTACAAATTGAGTTTGAGCACCAGGAGACAAGCATCTCACAGGGGTGTATGAACAAGGATATATAGCTTGTAGGATAGATGAAGTAATCCTTCCATTCTGCGCAGCATTGGTAAGACCTCAACAGGGAAACTGTGTCCAGTGTTAGCACAGGATTTTGAGAAGTTGCATCACTGGAGAAAATCCTGAGGAAAGTAATGGGAGTGATGAGAAGGAAAAGAAATAATCTGTAAGAAAAGATTGCAGGAGGCTGTTTAGAGAAGAAGAGAATTACAACAATCTTAAAATACATCAAAGGCAGCATCAGAGCAGAAAGATTTCTTTCCTTATGTCCACAGAGAGCAGGACAACAAGGAATGATCTTCAGCTGCAGCAAAGAAAGTATAGGATGAACATCACAAGAAAGATTTGATGGGAGGAATAGTGGCCTCGGTAACGAAGCAGTGGAACAGGTTGCCAGAAGGGATGGCGGAGTTTATCTAATAGGAAGCTTTTTAAATCAGGTTAGGTATGCGTTTTTCAGGTATCACCAAGGCATAACTGACCTGCCTTAGAACAGGTGCATGGTCCTGTCCCTTGAAATTACTTTCAGTCCTGTCTACAGTGTTTGTTTATTAAAGATGTCACTTTTCTGATTGTGGAAGGGAGAACGTATCTTTTTCTGTCTCCACTGTATGCACTTTTCCTGACTTGTGAAGCACTGGTTCCAAGCCTGCTTCCTAAACAACAAGTGACAAACTAGGAATTATCTATTTAACTATGCATATTTGCAGTTTGTATTGCAAACAGCAGCATCTTTTGTTGTCTGTTGTGTTTGGGGGTCTTTTTTTTGCAAACAGCACAATAAAGCAACAGCTAGGTTACATTTACTAAATAGTAACAGTAGTAAATAAAGCACTTGGGAGGAAATGGCACTGTAGCTCAAGTGTGTACGCAACTAAACTCTTTCAGCACTCTCCCTATCCACCTCACCCCCAGAGGAACTCCCCAGCAAACCCTAAAAGCCAATCTGGCTTTATCCACTGTCTCTATTAGAAATAGCCCTAGCCTCTGCTGTTCCCCACACAAAGCCTGAGGGTTGCCTGACAGGAGCTGCAGTTGGCGTGGGTCAACACTGTATTGAGAAGATTTCAAACCATAAACACCTGGCATGATAGTGGGACAGTGCTTGAACCCTTGTTCTGGCCCTGTTTCGTTTGCCGATCTAGGCATAATCCCAGAAACAAGTGCATGTCATTCTGTTGCTTGAAGAAGAATCTATTTCAATAGACAAATTCAGGTGGTTGATTTACAAATGTTAATCTGTAATAGTAGTTATGTCATCAGATAACCTTGTTTTTTTTCTTCTACCTTTACAGAGTTTAGGAGTGGAGACTGTACAACCTCCATCCCCCAAAGTGTCCAACAATGAATTTAGCTTTACAGTTGGTTTTAAAGATTTAAATGGTAAGTAGCTGAATGGACTTTCTGCTTTTTATGCTTGTTTAAACTACCTCACGGTAACAAAGGAGAAGAAAAACTTCAAATATTCTTAATTAAAAACAAAACAAAAAATGTTCTGCTGGATGGGGAGGTATATTTGTGTCTCTCAATTTAAGAAACTTTGAAGGGGCCAATTCTTTTTAAGGGAACATTGCTCAATCTTATATAGGTGTCAGACTTGAAAATGAGTGCAGAGGAAAATAAAGATGAGAGGTCCCCCAAATAACTTTCTGAAATGCAGCCTTTCTAATGTAAAGATTGAACTTCATAGAAAATGAAGTTCCTCAGTGTGAGGTTAGAGCCGCATAAGCATTTTTGTCCAATGAAAGTATCAGCTTCAACTACTTCCACTTTACATTGCTTTTTCTCGTTCTGGTTTGTACTGTTGCTTTTGCGTGTACAGCTGCTTGCTGGGGCTGTGTGGCAAAACAAATGAGGGAATTTATTCGAGTTTCAAGAAAGAATGCTCCCTTTGGTTTTGTTTAGTAGTAGGTAGTTTGTTTATTTTTTGTTTGGTTTGGTTTTTATTTGTTTGTTTTTCTTTCTTTGTTTTGCTGGGAGCTGGTTGTTTGCATTTGCATTTGCCTGAGCTGGCTTAAACCTGTGTTTTTGTCCCAGAATCAGTTCACTCTCTCAATCTACCTAATGTCTCCACCAGCAAAGTGGGAAGAGGCATGTAACTGGAGAGCCAATTTTCCCACTGAAAAGAAAAGCTTATAAAAATACTCTATTAGTATAACAGGTAAACCGAGACAGTCTGGTGGTATATTCACTTAGTCTGATGAATGACATATTCTTTGTTGGACTCGATCAGCATTTTTTGGTATCTTGCTCAGCATTCTCCATCCTTTTCCAGGACCCCACTTAAAGCTTTCCCAGTTTGTGGTATTTTTTTAAATTAGATTCTTCAAAGGGATTTAAATCACTGGATCTCTTGGTTAAAGAATATTATCTTCTAGAAAGCTGAATCATCCTGCAAGGTGTTATTCCACAGGATCTCTTATACCATGGCTGGTTCAAGCAACTGAAAAAGAAATCACGTATGAAGTTCCAGTTTAGGATTTTATCTTGTACCCTGACATTGTAGAAGACAGAAAGCAAAAGTTACAGTATTTACATTTGGTTGATAAGATGCTTTTGAAAAGAGACTGTCTTGTTTGTTCTTTGCTTAAAGAACATAACCCTGTATATTACATGAGGTATGTCATAGATGTTGATCACACAATTACTGATGGGCTACAAATGATACCGTCCAATTTCCTGTGTCTTACAGTCCTCTGATTCTGCTTCATGTTAATTTTAGAGTGGTAGAATAGCAGTAATATATGAAGATATTCTTGATCTAGGCCTCAATTACATGATTTGTTTTGTGCTATACCAAAACTTGCTAAGCATTTATGTATGTACTTATTATCATAAGTAGATGGCTTAACGGCAGCTAGTGGAATTTCTTGAATTCATATCACCAAGCATGTATCCAGAAATTTTGCTGGATCAGGGCCAGGTTTGGTAATGTCTTAAGAGCCAGAGGCTGTATCAGTGAAAGTAAAGCTTCCTGTCCTGTTTAATTTGTATTCATAGAGTTCCTTGTACTCTGAACTTTAGTATGACCAGATTAATGGCTATTTCTAAAACACATTTATTTCTTGAACCCATTTAAAATGTTCTTTCCTTTTCCATAACCCGTGTATCTTACAGGAACCATGCCTTCTGCAATTTAGTCTCCAGTGAAATGGAAACAGTGGTTTGCATTGCACTCACTCTGACACATTTTGTGATTTTTCTTTACAGAATCCCTAAATGCCCTAGAGGACAAAGACCTGGATGCTTTAATGGCTGATCTTGTAGCAGACATAAATGATGTTGAACAGAGAACTTTACAAGCCCAGAAAACTTCTGGCAGCCAGCAGAATACACTCACTCAGCCTTCAACAGGTTTGGATAGTGACATTTATTCTAAATTAGGTCCCATTACTGCACAGTTTGGGGATGACTTGCCCCCTCCACCTCCAGACCCTGACTTAGACCTTCCACCACCACCACCACCACCTCCTACTGAGCCACTCACCCAGGTAAGCCTGTTCTGAGCATTCACAGGTTCTTTTAATTTTGCAAGTGGTATTTGGCATTGGAACAGCAGTGCATATCCCAACTAGAAACACTGAAGCTGGTGGAGCCAAATTCTTAGGTCATGTAACAAGGACATTAGGAAAACCTTTTCCGTTTCAGGCAGTGCTGTAGCACTGGAACAGGTGACCTGGAGAGATCACAAAAATCTTTCCTTGGAGGTTTTCACAACTTTGCTAGGCAAAATCATGGCTGACATGATCTAATGTTGTTGTCTCTCCTTCAGGTAGGTGATGCAGATTGCAGATTTTCATACCTGTGGAGATAAAATAAAAAAAGACTTTTTAAACTGATTGTCTGGTGTTTATAGCGGAGAATTTGACAACAGCAAACATGCTTGAAGCCATCTCTTTCAGGTTGCACACCTCACCTTGTATTTTTAACAACCTAAAGTTCATAGTGTCACAGGGAAGTAGTGACAAAACAAAAGATGTTTAATTCAGCAAGTTAGTCAGGAGTACTTGAGTTATGTTTGGACTTGCCTCAAAGCTTGGGATGAAATAAGATAACCTTCTTAGTTCTTCTATTGCTATGATCCTATGGTATCTCTGTAAGAAGGAAGTGGAAGCAATGCTTACTTAGACATAGCTTCTTGCAAGTGCATGTCCTGTGATTACAGTACAGAAAATGTCCTTTTCCAATTCTTTTGTGACTGGAGGAGACTACTGGAAAGTAGATGACAAAAAGAAATGGTCACAATCTGTAGTCACAATCTACCAGTCACAGAGGTGACAGTAGGCACTGGCATCTGGTACGGGTACCTAACTTTCATCAGCTGAATCTTGGATCACAAACCTCACTGATATTAGGAGAGAGGCATGGTATTGATACAGCTGCTTTATAAAAGAAAAGCTGGGTGATACTGAGATTTTTAGGAGTCTTGCTATAGCATTCAGCAAAAGCTCAAATGAACTTGAATGCTCTGTGTCTATGTTAATATGAATGGGTCTGTTACTAGAATAAAAAGCCATGATACCATCCAATTTAAGGAGGTGATCCCCCCAGTAACTGTGCATGCAGTAAGAGCTCATATGTGGCAAGTGAAATAATTCAAGTAAATTAATGTACTTAACATACAGGGTAAAATTGTAAGTGATGTAATTGCAAGCCAAGTTGTCAGTAAGATTCTAAAAACTCTAGTTCTGTTAACCCCATCAAGAGGTGAGTTTTCTTACAAGCAGCTGCATCCAAAATGCTGTTTCATTCAGGCTAGATCTTCCTTAATCTTCTCTTTTGTATCAGCTGTAACCCATATGGAAACATAGAAGGGCTCAGTTTTCAGGCGTTCCTGTAGCATTTGAGGAACAGATCATGTAAGAGCTGTATGACCAGGCAACACAATGGAGTACTGGACTTAAAACTGTAGCTGATGCAGGATATTAGCTCAAAGAAAGTTGGGAATTCCTTGTAACTATGAAGTTTTCCATGACAAACCTTATGTTCGGGATATAAATAACAAGAAAAAACTCTTTCCAAATAAGTATAAATTGCTAGCCTCATTTAAATGTCTTGTGTTTTTTCAGGAAGAACAAGAGGCACAGGCTAAAGCTGACAAGATTAAACTTGCATTGGAGAAACTGAAGGAAGCCAAAGTTAAAAAGGTGAGCCTTAAAATCATGAACTGCCATCATAAGAGCTACCAGCCAAGTGTTTCTTATTCCTGTTAATAATAAATTCTTACTGAAACAGCTAGCAGGTACTTTGTCTGTACCTTGAGGTGTCTTACATATTCTGTCTCGTCATCCACTAGGAGAAAAGTGTCTGGGAGGATGATGCCTGTGAGGAACTTATTTTTAAGAGGGCTTGGAAGGTTTTGCCTTCTTTTTTTTTTTTCCCAGTGTTGGGGCAAAGCCCACTGTTCTGATAGGTTGCTTCAGAGAAGGTGGAATGTACATAAAAACATTGCTTTTTTATGCTGTGCTGATTCCAGAGGTATTAAACTTTTCTTTTACAGTGGACATAGATGTAGCTAATCCTAATTAAGTTAATGAGGGTCTTCTTGCTGAATCTTTCCACAGCAGTGTAGTAATGTACAAGGATAATACAAATTATTTTAGACCAAGAATTCAGAAAGCTTCTGGCCAGTGTCTGCACAGTACTGCAGTGTGTCATGTAATTATGACCACACATCCTAAGCTAGTGTTCCAGCTGAACTCAACAGAAGCTGCAGGTGTTCAGTTACTCTGAACACTGGCACAGTTTGCCCAGGGAGGTTGTGGAGTCTCCCTCCTTGGAGATACTCATAAGCTACCTGGACAGGGCCCTGGCCAATGGGCTCTAGGTAGCCCTGCTTGAGCACAGAATTGGGCTGGTGGTGCCTTCCAATCTCAGCCATTCTGTGATTCTGTGAAGATGAAAGCCGCATGTGTGTTTCTGAGCAGTCAGCTATAACCAGATAACAATACCCTCTTTTCCCAGACATGTTGTATATTATCCATGTACAATATTTCTTTTTCTCCATAATCTACACTATGGCTCAGTTGCTTATTTTAGAGAGGAAAATACTTGGAAGCATTGGAATCATAGCAAGTTCGCAATTTTTTTTGTTTCATTTGCTTTTACTTCTCAGAGATAGTGTAGGTCTTCTCCTGGGGGTCAACACTCTCTGCTTCTACCTAATCTTTGCCAGAGATTGTCTTTATAGTACCAGAGCTTCTTATGCACACATTTTAAAATAAGGAATTTTTTAAACAAAACACCATTTTAGTTCCAGTTTCTACATACAGATCCTGTAGACAATTATTCTTCTGTTTTCAGTACTAATGGAGCATTTTAAGCACTTTCCTTAAAATGTATTTGCAGTTCTTAATCACATTTTATGTACTCCAGCATTTTCTTGCATTGTTCCTCTCTGAATAGAAGGTCACACAGTGTCTTGTTTAAGAAATACTTCACACTATGAAGAAATAATGAGTGTCTTAGGTCAATTTGGTTAATATAAGTAACTCATCTGCTTGCTTATTGATGGGTTTTGGCCTACTGCCCATCTTAGTACAATCTGATTTTAGATTAGTCTGTTGGCATGGCAAGATTCTTCCATTCTTTTTCTTATTTAAAGCTAAATTTTCCACCTTTCTAGCTTCCACTAAGGACACACCATCCTTTTGTACTTGGTTTCCCTATCAAGTATTTTCCTTAATTGCACATCTAGTAGATTTAGAGAAGAGATTAACTTCTGCTTTTTCTCCATAGCAGTTTCACCTTTCCTGAAGTCATGCACAGGACAAGGTTCAATTTTCTTTTTTGAGAAAAGGTAGTTATTTTGGTAGCAATATAATGTGAAAGCTTCCAAGCTGTTTTATTCCTTCAGCTCACTGTGGGACAGGGTGCCTTTGAATCAGTAATAACCTTCAGCCTTAATCTTTCTTATCTGTGTTAGCAGATTCAGACTAGCCTTTTACTTGCTTCTGAAATTAACTGACTCTCCTCTGACTCTGTACTCAGCTTGTTGTCAAGGTGCACATGTACGATAACAGCTCAAAGTCACTAATGGTGGATGAGCGTCAGGTGACACGGGATGTTTTAGACAACCTCTTTGAGAAAACTCATTGCGACTGCAATGTCGATTGGTGTCTGTATGAAGTGTATCCAGAACTGCAAATTGGTAAGTGGTGTAATGACGCATCATATAGAACATAGATACAGTGTAACCTTTGTTGTTGGTAATCTTGGAAAGGGAATTAGTAATATTTCTCATGCCTATGTGTCCACTGGTTTTGGAACATCATACTCTCTAAGCTGAGGGATGGTGTGGGAATGTACATGGGCCATTCTTGCTGTAGAAATGAGTCTTCCATTCATCTGGGCTCTGAGCTGCAGAAGGTTCTTTGCCCACCACCATTTCCATCATTCTGTTTCACAAAATGTAAAGGGGCCATGTGATTCCACTCTTTGTCAAGGCAGTGGCAGACCCAAACACACAAGTACTCTACTCTTTGAAGAGAGGATCCAGGGCTGAAGTGCTGTCAATAGGCTGTTACATATTGGCCACACAAATGTTTTAATTAAACAAGACTGTCTGAGAAGCATTTTAATAATTTCTGATGGTTTTCATTTGTGATAGTTTTTTTTCTTGTAGCTGTGATCAAGACATTGCTGTCTGACAGAGCTGCAGCTTTGCTGGTGGTACCTTATGATTTAGGAAGCAACTAACCTAGCCTCCAGGTCCCTAAGAAACAGCTGTGCAAATGTTATATATTGTTTGTTGCAACTTAATGAGTTTTGTCTCAAAAAGGCTTCAAGGCTGAGCAAGCAGTGGCATATTTTCTAATTGTGAGTTATTTCAGAATCTTTTTATTGTCCAGGCTGCAAAGGTATCTGCATCAAAAGGAAAAGGCAAATTGCCACAACTTTCTTCCAGGGTCACATTCGACCTAGAGACACAGGAAGTTGTCAAGCAGCCTTTGGCATTCTCAGTTTACAGTAAGCAGAGTTGTGAAAATGCACAAAGAAAGTTAAATATCACTATTGCACTTTAACAGCCCCAGGAACAGTCATCCTGCTAACCTAAAACAAAGAAATGTAAAAATATCTGGAAAAAGCCTGACTGCTCTTGTGCAAGGAGATACTTTTCTGCTAGTAAGAATGGCAGAGACATCAACTGCCGGGCTATTCTTTCTACTCAGTTAAGATGATACATGAAGCAATGTTGCTGCATTCTTTTGTACCTGCTTAGCTTAAGTGGGGAAAAACTGGAAATGTCATTAGACCCTAGAAATGTCACAAGTGTCACTGAATAATTTTGGAGTGTTTCCTTGTCTTGAAAAGTTGCTTCCTCTGGTCTAGTGTGACTTGGACAACGTTTATTACAATGACAGCACGTAGACAGATTGCATTATGTTAGACCTAGCTGATGCTGGGTGCTTTGAGTTAGGGTATTGGTATAGTAAGGAATTACTCTCATGATGAATATAAACTATTTGAAAAGCCAGGAGAGAAGAAGTGTAGGAAAGGAAATAAATCAGCATTTGGTGTAGAATAAAAGGAAAAGTCTATGAACTCCTGATCTGTCACCAGGTCCAAATCAGCTGGGAATGGAGCCTTTTTGTTTGCAGAAGAAAATTTTGATATGAATGGAATGATTCCAGTGCACAGCTACCTGCAGGAAATGTTGTTTAAAATCAAAATAATGTGAACTGTTCTTTATTGCCAGTATACTTCTTGACAGTTCTAGATAGCTCTGTTACTACCAGCATGCTTAGAAGGCAGGCTTTCCTGCACTTTTCTGCGCTTTTCCCTTCTACAAGAAGCAAATCCCAGCAGCAAATATTTCAGGCTGAACTGAAAGTCCAAGCTAGTTTCATGTCAGAAGATCTTTGACGGAGTATCTTATATATACTGTTATTTTGAGAAATGATGATTGCAAATAAACTAAACTACAGCTTTAGATTAATTGCCTGTTAAATATCACAGATAATCTCAGTAGTGAGATGATGCTATAACACTGGGCTGTACATACCAGCAGTATTTTGCAATAAAGAGTATTGCCTTATAATAGGCATCCAGATTTGACATTTTTTAGGTAACAATAATAATAAAAAAGACCCTCCTAAGGGTGGTAAGATCATACCTCTTATACAAGAAAAGCCTGGTACTGGAAATGAATGAACAAACGTACATGTGGCAAAATCAGTGTTAAATAGGTAGTGTTACTACCTGAGAATTATTTTAGGGCTATCTTGAACTGTAAGATACTGTTTACCCTTTTCAACTATTACTTGGGGTTTATATACTGCTTTATGTTTCCAGTACACTGCAGAAGTATCAGTTGCTAAATGAAAAGTGTTATGTTGCTTGTGGTGTTAAAAATTACTGTGTGCATGTGAAGCTAATATAATTTTGTGAATTTAAAAATTTAATTTAGTTTTAATGGGACATACTGAACCCCTTCAGAAGTAACTAGAAGTGTTAAAGAAAGCCTACAAAATGTGTGTTCTGTTGTTTCCTCTTATACTAGGCCGGTCTACACTATTGTAAAATGTGAACACCACAGACCTCTAAAATGGAGTACAGCCATTCCCAGGGAACTGCCAAAATTATACTGAAAATTGGAGCTGTGTGAATTCCCTGTCCCAGTACTGAACTTGTAGAAAAAGTGCAGTTTCAGTGCTTCCAAAATTACCTGTCAAATTATGCCAATTCGTTTTCCCTCCAAAGGAGGTTTGTGTGACTCTTCAGCTACTTCATACAAATGAAACCTCAGAAGAAGAGATCGGAGTTATCTGACCTCAGCATACCCTGTGGTTTTCCTGGGTGGAGGATTTGGGTTCAGATCAGCTCAGGAAGGGAGAGAACTGACACTAGGACTCCCACATCTCTGGTGAGGTTTTTAACTGCAGAGATGCTGGGTGAAACTGTATGTTCACATCAGTTCTCAGTCTGTCTTCTAATTTCCACTGGCTTACTATTTCTGTTTTTAAATGCAGTTGCTTGAAACAAGACATTTTATTTTCAGTGCATAAAATTCTTCCTATTGACAGAAATTTTTCATTTGTTTCAATAAGTAAAAAGACAAGGAAATAGGTTTGTATTATTTTTTTCTCAGAGTGGGTATGTAGCTCTCTTCCCCTAAATCATACTGCAGACCTTAAAAAACAAGACTGAAACACCATTGAGAGAAACAGATGTAACCATCTACTCCTAGTGGGTCACTGTTTCCATCCTTTGCAGCCTTTGGGCAATAGCACGGAGGTGCAGGAGGACTCCAGGAGCATGCCAGACCTACATAAGGCATCTTCTGTAGCTTGTTAACCCTTCCACATGACAGTATATCCATGTGGTTTTGGTCCCTTCTGTGCAGTGCAAAACAGTGCTGGACTGTCCAGCTCTGAGCAAACATCAGATAATGATTATATTCTTACACAGGGATTTCTGCAGCCTCAGGAGAGCGGAGAGAGAGTTTGAGTGTCTTACGTTACCTTTTCTGTCTCTCCAGAAAGGTTTTTTGAAGACCATGAGAACGTTGTTGAAGTGTTATCAGACTGGACCCGAGACACTGTGAATAAGATTATGTTTTTGGAAAAAAGTGAAAAATATGCCTTATTTAAAAATCCCCAGGTAAGCTAACATGGAATTTGGGTAAGAGTCTAAAATTACGTCACTTAGTCCATATGCTGCCTGTTGCGTTATTAGTTTGCTTTCAGCTCTGTCAGTTTGGAATTACAGAAAACGACCTTGTGCTTTCAACAAAAAAGAACCCCAGACCAGAATGTTAAATGCAAGGATTTGAAAATAAGTGCTTTCTATTCCTTTCTGATACTATTTTAAAGTCTTTTCTGCACTGGTAAGAAATGAAACACATGCTTCTCACTGGTACAGTTGCTTAGGTAGGGGCTGTAAAAATCCATCCTTTGTCATTACAGTTTCTCCACTATTTCTACTGATGGGAATCAACATTTCTTCAAAGGTCCAGTTTTTGCCAGTCATACATGAAACTTTGTAAAGAGAATGCTGAGTATTTCAGAGAGTTTATTTGGGTTTCATTTAGCCTAGGGGAAGAACTGGGTGAACGGGAACACCTAATTTAGTGAAAGGTTCTGCACACTGAATTGCAACAAATTATTCAGCAAAGGTTATAATTTATTTCATGTGATATGTGGTCAAAACTGTGTTTATAAACACCTTAGCACATATAGTTGATGGATTCTTGGGCACTTGAGCTTTTCCCCTTGTCAGCCGTCTGTTACCTCACTGAGCATCTGATTTGTTCCGAAGGGCAGCCAGAGAAAAATGATCAGTTCAGCATTGCTGAAGAAATGAGTCCTAGATGATCTGGCAGCAAACCTCACAACATGCTCATTAGGAAGCCAGGGTTTTTTTAAAATGAGATAGTGTTTCAAACAAAACCTGCAGAGAAGAAGTTTTCTTCATTGACATAACAAGTATCCACAGTGAGGGAAAGAAAACTTTTCCTGCAGTGTACATGGATTGATGTTGATTTTTAATATGAAACAGAAGAGCCAAGTTTGGAAGTAAAACATACAGGATGGGTCAAGGTGTTATAATTTCTAGTGCACACAAACATATGTAGCAGCAGAGGTTTGATAGTACATTTGATTCATATGTACACTTGGTAGCATTATTGGGGTGAGTGACTTAGAGCTAGGCTGTGGGCCTCCCATAGGAAGTAAATAACTGATGAAGATTCTGGGCATTTGGATTGCAGTGAGCTGCAGAAATAAACATGACCTGAACCAAAACCAGAATAAGAGTGCAGCGCTGTCCTCCCATCTCAGGACATGATGGGCTGGATCTGGATATGTCTGCAGTCCTTGAGTTTCAGCCCCTCTGTGATAAGGTATAAAATGAGCAGCCTAAGGAAACTGGGTCAGTTGCAACTCTCACACTACTGAAATATTTTGCCAGTAATAAAGTCTAACCATCTGTCAGGCTGAGTGAATTCAAACATTGTGAGACAGGCAGACTAGCACAGTCATATCAGCAGTTTGTCTTTTTGCAGAGAATAATAAGTGTTGTACAGACAGAGCTCACACTAGGTAATGAAACATGGTAAATTGCATGATCTCGAGTGAGTTCCTGAAAAGGTAAACCAAGAGGAAATGCTGAGTTAGTGGGGGGCAGGATGTGTGATTAACTAACTACTCACAGAAATTACGGTGTAACCAATGGGACACTGAAATTCAGTGCTGTGATATGGCATTCTCAGTATATTTCAGACGCTTCCTCCTAGCTCAGTCGAGATTGCCTTATAAACTCATTTTGTGAGTAAGGAAACTACAGAATGCTTTTTTTTGACACAGCCTGTGGTGGTAATGAAGCAGCAGTTGGAGTCCTTGTTGGTTGTTCTTCATGCTTGTTCTGAAGGAGGTTGTCAGTGGAGATCTCATGGTTTTGACTCTTGCAGGTTATTTTTCTGGAAGAAGACCCCAGTCAGATTCCACAGGTGGCCAGGTGCTTACAACTGATTCTTAGACAAATTAGTGATACAGAATTTTCAGTATGGAGGTTTGACATAATTAAACATTTTAAAAACAATTTTATAAACATGATTGCATTGCTAAAACTAGTGGAATTCTGGAAAAGGTATGTATAGAAACAGAATTGTAGAATGGTTAGGGCTGGGAAGGACCTTAAGATCACTTAGTTACAACCCCCTGCCATGGGTAGGGACACCTTCCACTAGACCAGGTTGATCAAGGCCCTGTCCAACCTGGCCCTGAACACTGCCAGGGATGGGGCAGCCACAACTTCTCTGGGCAACCTATGCCAGTGTCTCACCACCTTCACAGTAAAACACTTCTTCCTTGAATTCTTAAATATCCTTAAATTCTTAAATGTCCTGTGCCAATATTCATTGTTTCTCTCTATGAATGAGTTATATTCCTGGTACAGATTAAACAACAATTAATTAAACATGTCTAATTTTTTAAGAAGGAGCTGAAGTTTTGAAATGCAGGATTTATCTTCTATGTCTGTGCTAGCAGCAAGCTGCTCAGCTAATGCCAGTGGCTTTTTTGGAAGATTGTCATTCTTGTCCTGCAGTACTGTAATATTTTTTTCTGCAGCTTTGTTTCCGAAAACTATGTCTTAAAGTATTTGGAATGCATTTTAGAAAAAGCACCTGCAAAATCCTCAGGTGTCCCCCTCTTTACAGAGGCTGGCACACTCTTGCCGTTTTCTCACCGTGATACAATTTACCCTACAGGGAACTCAGAGTAAAAGACCGTACCATGAATGTCATCAGCAACTCATCTACAGAGATGAAGTGTCACAAGTCTGACTAAAGAGTGAAACAAAAATACATGTTGGTACACGTGCAAATAAGGAAAACTTTCATGACATAGGAAAGGTGGTGCTTGGTTATGTGGTTGAGGGATGCTGTGCTTGACTCTTGAAAGGAAAGGTTGTCAGGTTTCAACACCTCTTTTCAAAAAGCTCAGAGTAAGCCTCAGAAAAAAAGGGACTCTAAAATTAGACGCTGGTCATGCTCTTAGAACCCCATGTTAGATTTTTCCAGACAGGATAAATTCAAACAGTGCAGGTGACATCACATTCATGTGTCTTTTAGTTTGATTGTTGGTTGGTTTGGGTTTTATTATTTTGGGGCATCATTTATGAAAATGAATTGAAATCTCTATAGTGAGTACTTTATACTTCTGCTCCCTCATATCTAAGCGAAAAGCAAGAGCTATCCCTTCCAATGGAGAACCCACACACTGAATTGACATTTTACTTCTTCTTCTGAAAAGCAAGAGTACTAAACAGCATGAGAAGGAGGTGGAGTAAGAATTTGTGATGTCTTTCGTAACAGGACAGCAGTAGTGAGTTTCATGCTTGAAAAGTTGTTTTGAAAACTGTGACCCAGAGAAGGAAGCATAGAAGAGTGGTGGGGAACTTGATTATTGAGTTTGTTGGTATATGCACAGAGAAATAGAAGTGAGAAAAGGGTACTATTTTTCACTGTACTCCCACTCTTTAGTAATCTTAGTTTCACTCTCTATTAGTGTATCTCAGTCTATGGTATGGTTTCAAGTTGAAGATGCTACTTCAATAAGTGTTCTTTTCCTGCTTTGAAACTGTAATGCAGAAAGTCTTTACACATGTGACTTAAATCAGCCTATTAAATACTTTGCTGTTATCTGCATCCTAGTTCATGTATGTCTTCCATTTGTTCCGTATTCCCCCCTCTTCAATGACGAAGACCATCATCCTCAAGGCATGAACAATCAGCTTTCTTTAAGTGATTTCTTAAAACATAAAATCAAGTAAGCAGAGTTGCAAATTAATTTTCAGGGGCTTCAAAAGAGCTTTGCCTTTAGCTTCATTTATTTCTTTACATTTGTTATCTTCAGAGTGGCTCTTGTGGACTTTGCAGATCTTCTGGAAAAACAGGTTCAATAGATTGAAAGCAAAAAAACAATCTAAGCAGAAAGGGAAGCAGAGGGAGGATGCTGTCTTGAACACCTGGTTTTTGCTGTATACTGACAAATAGCTGCTGAATTCCAGCTTCTATAGGGCTATGTATGAAGAAAAGTATGAGAGAGATGTTTTTCATTTACGGAATTCATTTTTACAAATACAGAGGCACGGAACACTGATCAGAGAGTTTGGCAGTGCAGTAGTTAATGCTGCTGTTTCTACTATGAGCCCAATTTGGTTTGCTTACATGCCACCAGAGATGTTCTTTGAAGCTGTTGAAAACACCTTCTGTCTTCCACTGTTTGAGGCTTATACAGAGGAGAGAGGTACAGCCTGAATTTTATTCCCTGCCTTTCCACACAAAATGGAATGGTTGTATCCCTGAATGGAAAGGTTGTATGCATACACTACTGGTGCTTTACAGTACAAAGCACAGAATCAACTTAAGATGGCTGTAAAATCTTTACAAGATTTTCTTTTGTGCAATTTCCTGCTAATGTAATGACATAGATGGGTCATCACCTAGTGTTTCTGAAGGGTCTCATACCTGGCTAGCGTACATGTCAAGACTGCCACTATAGCTCTGCATTCTGAGTCAAGCAGAATGGCATAGGAGAGCAACTGGCTTTATGTCAGCTTCAGCTAGTCTGGGGTTGTGTAGGCACAGGGAATAATTCAGCAAAAATACCAGCTCACTTCAGCATCAGATAACCCAAACAGTGCAAACAAAGCAAACCCAATGTCAAAGCGTGACAGCATACTTTGTTTTGTTTGTTAAAATAACCCTTTATGTTTGCTTTCTTACGTTACCAGTCCAAGATGATGAATCCATCCTGTTCAGTAAGCTCAGCTGTTTATCAAGAGAAAATTATCCTTTGAATGCAAAAAATAGTTAATTCTCAAATCTGTAGACATATGCAGAGAGCTACCCCGTAGCCACATCTCGTCCCATTAATGACCTAACATCTCAAACCAAATGTGTATTTCCTAGTGGTGTCCTCAGACAGGAAGAAGCTTGCCTTTTATCATGACCTTTGGCTACTGGACTTGGAATGACTTCTTGTGGACACATGTGGTTTGTCTCCTATAGATGAATGCTTCCAATCAAAAATAGGAGACCACACAGTGATAAAACAAGTACAGTCTGCTCCCCAGGTTTTTGGCTGCTGACAACTAATAAGTACCAGGTACTTGCAGATTTCAGGGTAGAGACATAAAGGAGGTAATAAATGAAATGTGTGTTGACAGGTGAAAGATGACAGTGTGCATCTGTGTAATGTTGGTTTAGGTGACAGAGCCCAGTTTCCCTAATGAAAAAGCTGCGTTGTTAAAGATCCAGCATGGATATCATTACAAACTTTCTCTCTTTACCACTGATTGTGTCAGTACAGGGTGGTCTGTTTCTGCTAAATAAATGCCAGATGCCTGAATGTGAATCAGTTCTAATCAGAGGACCTTTGTTTTCTTATTATCAGTGCACTGAAGTCTGACTGAGCCAGATGAATGCTCTTGCCACTGGTAGTAAAGCTGATGAGCCAAGCCTTGTTGAGAGAGTGATAAGGTGTACTTACCTTGATAAATAAATCTTCACTGGGTATTTTAGGGGTTGTACTATGTCTATTTTTTAATGATCTACAGAAGGCAGCTTACAACTTGCATGTTCCTCTACTTTCCAAATCCATCCCGAAGTCTGGAGGCCCAACCCAGCCTAACAGTGCCCTTTGAGGCTTCTCTTCATACGCTCATCAGTGAAAAAGAAGTACCAACATCAAGCCAGCAGTGCTGTGATAGTGCTCCCTCTCAAGAAGAGCTGTTGCCCATGTACAGAGGACTTGACTCAGAACAGTGTCTTTTTTTCCCCAGTGGGATGAGTGAAGCATTGTCACCTCACTCAGACCTATGGCTTTACTGCATTGGCAGGCATCGCTGTTTGGGTTGCACTGAGAATACACTTTTAAGCAGGTTTTGTTTCGAGATAGTTTGAGGTTTTTTCCACTATGAATACTGTCTTCAGATATAGTCATAAAGCTGTGATCCTTAGTGCTTGCTTACCTTCAGCCATGGGCTAAAAATGTGCCCAGGCAGTTTGGAGCCAGCAGTATTTCCTGGCATAACTGTGTGTTGTATTGAATGTTCAAGGTTCTTACGTTCATTCCATAAACGTGGTATCAGCATAGGCCAAATTGCAGGTGGCTGTTTTTCTAATGTCCCTGTCTGACTTACTGTGAAATTTTAAGGAAGCTTTTAAAGAACTGATTTTGAGATCACCCACGCTTCTTCCCCTTCCTCTCCTGGTGCCCCTCCAAAAGCTGTCTGCTGTGAGGCTTGTATTCTGGCAGACAGCTGTTCACTGTGCTGCTTGAGAAAGAAGCTGTGGTTGTGCGGGATAGGAGGGTTTCACTTCAGATGAACTTCACTGCTGTAAACATGTTATGCTGGCAGGGAAGATATGCTGTTTGTTTGTTTCTTTCTTATGCTATAGCAACAGCATGTTCCTTCATTTACACACTTCTTGTTTTAATTTCGGTAATACTTGCATTTGTGTTGCAGTTCAGTCATTATGGAGTTTTAGGCGTGTAAATATGTTGCCATATTCTCGTAGTCTTGAGACTTGAAAAAATGGAGATAAAAAGTCAGAAAAACTCTTAGTTTTCTTCCTATGGAATCGCTGAAGAATTATGGAATTTGGAGTTGTTTTTAAGTAGATAGCTTTCAATATTTGTTGGGATTTTACAATTTTGTCTATTTCCTATACAATGGTGTGTGTTTGGTTTATGCCCTTTGTTCTGCAAACTTAGCTTTTTGACTAATTCCAGGGAAATCAGTAAGACTGTCCCATGTATCAAGTATTTCTCAAGCTCCTCTTCTACATGCACTTTCATTTAGAAAACGGTGAAATACAAGAATTCGATGCATGGCATAGCTCCTTCATCTGCCTGCTTCCTTCATGCTCAGCAGCTGTACTCTCAGCAGGCAATCGGCTCTGCTATTTGACCATGGTTGGTGTTCAGCAAAGCCACTGCACGTGCTCCAGCACACCAACATGTTATGTTCTCTACTGTCTGTAATAATATGGGAAGTGGTGAAAATTGGAATGATAAAATCAAACCCATTGATCAGAAAAACAGCCAAAAGCATAAGCCAGTGTTTTCAAAAATTTGGAAGGCTGTATATCCGTAGGCAGAAGTAATTTTGGATAACTTCTGAACTTTATTCAAAATAAAGAATTAAAACTCATGATGAGGCAGCTGTGATTAAAGTTTTCTATCAGAAGAGTCCATAGGTATAGGCCTCTTGCATCTGCTGGCTTGGGTACTCAATACTGAAAGACTTCACTATTGAATGGGTCTGTAGTGATCTAGTTACTTGTATTGCTCTCTTTATAATGAGCATCAATTTCTTTTGTGTCTTAATCAGAACTTCTACCTTGCAAGCAAAGGGAGGAATGAAAGCAAAGAAATGAATGATAAAAGCAAAGAGGCTTTACTGGAGGTAAGCTGACTTTCTGGGTTAATGATGCAGATGTCACCGAAACTCTGCCACCTTCTGCGTCTGCTCTGCAACAGCAGCATTTAGTTCTTTGTGGGAAAATGTGTAACAGGACATTCTGTGCTGGTTGGTGTCATTGTGTCTAAGGTTTAACATTGGATTTTCCTCTGCATCTGCTGCTCACCATTACAATGCAGACTGTATCCCCCTTCAGAGAGTATAAATGATGGAGATTTTGTTGTTACAGACCCAGTGCCGTGAAACGATTTCACTTACTGTGTCTGTGAAGTGTAATGCCATGATAACAATTAAAGCAGTGTTACACGAATATGAGTGGAAGAAACAGCTCTGCCACACCATTAGACCAGCCATTGTGACTTTATATTATTAGTAAGGTTGATCAGTAGCAAACAACTATCTTTTGGACTAGAAGTAGATGTACTTCTCACTACCTCAAATTACTGGCTGCACTACAACACAAAAAGAACCTTTGCACTTTCCAGAAAGTCTGTTCAGCCTCTTGCCTTTCCTGCTGAAGGTTTACTTCAGTTGCATGTTTTGAGAGTGAAAAATCCAGAGCCATATGAAAGATGCAGTTATCACAGTTCTCTTGGCAAGCATTTTGACTTGGTAGGAATTCACAAAGGAAATGCTGTTCTCAGGCAACTGGGGATTCCTATTTCAAAGTTAAGTGCATCTCATGAAGGTACCAGATATCAACCAGCAGAAGTCCTGGTAAATTCTAAATGAAAACATAAAGTGATAAGCATGTTGGCATTAAAAATTACTGAACAGTAGGTCCTTCAAGCAAACAATGAAGTGTATTTGTTTAAACAGCGTTCTAAATGCTAGCATGTATTTAAAAGTGAAAGCAGAGATTGAGGGCATTTTTTTCCTTTACTGTTTTTAGAGCTCTAAACAGTGCCTGAAGATTCTCTCTGTAGAAGTATTTCTCTACAGAACCTGTAGATCCAGCAACAGAGAAAAAACAACAGCAGTAGTACCAGCCATTCTGTTTTATTGCCTTCACTGAGCACATCTACGTGTAGTTAAAACCTTTTGTAGGTTTTAGCTTGACCCTGTAGAGAATGGAGGTTCTGCGAGCCTCCTTTTCCAGTGTGAGTGCCCACCTTGCATGGCTGAGTTGCCACAGTAGCTTGGAAGTTTCCTTTGCCTGTCTAAGGTGTTCATCTCCCTGAGAACTGAATTCCCCACGTTCAGGTGTTCACTGTCACAGTAAAAGTCTCTGTTTTACAAGGGAGCATTTTTCTCCTATTAATAGGGTTGTGCTTAAATGAAATCTGTTTTGTGTATTCTTGTTGCACAGGAAAGCTTCTGTGGGACATCTGTCGTTGTGCCAGAGCTTGAAGGGGCCCTTTATTTAAAAGAGGATGGAAAAAAGTCATGGAAGAGGCGTTACTTTCTTCTACGAGCTTCTGGAATTTATTATGTTCCCAAAGGAAAAACCAAGGTCAGGAAGCCAAATAATCTTTATAGCAATAAAACAATTCACATAGGTGAAAGTGAAGAACTCCCAAGATGACATTTCAAGAGCAGCGTCTGGTGCATCTGAGAGGGTTGGGGTTTTTTTGGTTTAACTTTGACTACACCACTTGTGCAAATACTGGAATGTAGTCCCTGAATCCTGTCACGTTTCTCTCCTTTGATTTCTATGGATAGATAAAAGCATTAGTGAAATAGCACTCCTCCGGAAGCCAGTAGGGAAAGCAAAACAGCACAGCACCCTTCAGGGAGTGTTATGCTGCCAAAATGCTTCACTGTTACGTGGGTTTCCTGTGGAAGAATACTTTAGTTCTCAAGTAAACTAATTTCTTATCACAAAAAGGTGGAATTCTACTTTGTTTGATACTGAATTTCTATGCCAGTAGCTAGCATGCAGAAATGCTACACATTTTTTCCTACCATGATCTTTACCTAGAGAATGTGTTATGCTTTTTAAGCCTGCCTTTTGTGCAGAAGGGAGACAGAAGTATCCACCTGACCAAATCAAATGCACTGACATTTAATATTGCAAAATATTTCAAGAGTCTGAATTGCTAGCACTGGAGAAGCAACAGGGCCCTGTGCATGTTGGCCATAAGGGCAGCTGGTTTCTCATTTCCACAGTGATGGGGTAGAATGTTGGCTTCTGGGACTGGTGGGTCTTTTTGGGGTTTGGTTTTGGGTTTCTTGGGGGTTATTTTTTTGTGTGTTTTGAAAGCTACTTCTGCTACCACTTACAGCTCTGCTAATGCTTCATGTTTGGAAGTTCTGGTGCTGCTAATGGAGCTTTGCTGTTACGATTCGTCCTATGAAACTGTTCTGCCATTCCCTGATTAAACTATGAAGGAAGGAAAAAAGATAGCTTGTAAAGGAATGCCGTGATGCTGCTCCAGTGACCTATGTTTATACCCCAATGAAAGGCAGACCTAGATTACCTTGCTGATTTCACAGTAATTCATTTGGACTTTACCTGACCGTGAGATATCAGCTTCCAGTCCTCAAATCATGTTACACACACACAACATCCTAGCAATTAGGAACTAGAATGCTATTTGGAAGGCACTTAAGGTAGAAAGAATATAAGAATAGTCAAATGAAAAGTCCATCTTGGGCTTTCCCTGTAGCCTGCCTCCAGTGATAGCCAGCAGTACAGTGCCAAACAGGGCAAGCCTATACTGATAGTTACCCAGCCTTTTTCGTCATCCAGTGATACCCATTTCAGTGACTTCCTATCAGAGTGAAAATTAGGAAAGTGCTTTCTTTTTTCAGGTGATAGACTGCAAATACTGGCTCAGGATGGAGCCATGCACCAAGCCATGTCACCTCATAACAGCTGTTTAACACTTTATTGCCTGTTAGTTGTTATAGGCAGGGTAGCCTGTACTACCTATAACTGAGCCATTTTAAGGAACTGTGTGAGTGCTTCAACCTCACTATTTTACCAACTCAGTCACTCACAGGAATTGAGAACTTTGAATCTAGTTCTTTTCGAGATAGAGTGGCTCTTTAAAAAAGTACCACAATCAACTGTTTGCTCCTGCTTCTTTAACAGCCTTCAGAAAAAGGATGTATGTGTCCATGCCTGAGGCGTTCTGGAGAAAGTCAAATCTCTTAGCTCAAATCTGTTTAATGGTGTTTGAAGTTAATTACTGGAATCTGTATTGGAACAGCTGAGGTTCAGGTACACGTCTTCCATGCAGACAGTAATCTCTAGTAGATGGGCAGGGTGCACTGAGGCTGCTAAACAACTTAAAGCACTGCAGCAGAATTCAGTAGTGCTCTTCAGTCAAAGCCCTTAAACTGTGAGAGTTGATATCCGGGTGGTACAAAGAGTGCATGTGCACCTTGCATATGTGCAACCCATTCAGTTGTGGGTCGAGTGATCTTTCATTGAGGTACAGAAACAGTTGGTAGACAATAGTATCTTCAGCTGCTGCAGCTGTTTTGAAATTCGTCATGTAATCATGTTCTCACTTGTTACAAAAAAGCAAAGTCTGGCAAACCTTTGGCACTTCATGTTGGCTGTACAATACATTGCAAAAATGAAAATATAGGGACACGTTCAGATTACTGTACTCACATGCCTTTGGTGGCTTTTGTTTGAGGCTTTTTCCTTTACAAACCAGGCACCAGTCAGCACTGCTGTCTTAATTTCTTCAGTGTTCCTCCACTTACATCCCATTCAAAACCATGCTGTGAATGGACAGAGTCACAGAACAACAGATTCAGAACTGCAGATACAGTTTTAAGATTTGTTTCTGTTAGTTGTATTACTTTGACATACTAACACTGCAGAAATACTAACAAGAAGTTTCTTTGTCTCTTCCATAAAATCTTGTTCCTTACTTAGAAGAAAATAACAACTGCATACATATTGGTCTTAATTGCCATTACCTGGTTCATAAAGGAAAGGTTTTGAGCATGTTTAGGAGCTTAAATCCTAGGTCCACACAGTTAATGACAAAATCCCTGACATCAGCTTCAGGGGAAACGGAAGAGAGAGAAGCTCTGTCTACCTACAGTATGGAGCATCTCCTCCCCACCAATCTTACTTGCAAACTCACTTTGTAAATAAATACAACTTAAGAGTGCATTGTAATGAAAATATCAGCAAGAATGAGCACAGCCTAGAACCATCATGCATGGAAATATAACCCAATCTTAGCGGGAGAGAGGGTTTGTGATTTGTTTTTTCTTTTCTTTCACAATTTCCTGATTTCTCAGGTTAGCCAGCAGTGATCATGTGACAGAACCGCTTTTGCTTTTCCACTCAAAGACTACAAAAACTGTGCTTTGTGTACAGAATTCTGCGCTGAGAAGTGTGCCAGCAACAGGAACCTTGTTACTTCAGCAACATGTTGTGAACAAGCAAATATTATAAGCAGAAAAGGACCGATGCCAGAAAATTTGAGGAAATCCAAAGCAAACCAGATGAAATGTGTTCTTATTTCCTGATGACAGTTTGTTTGTTACACATATCACAGACAAACAAGCTTCCAAAGCAATTTAGAACCCCAGACCTTCTTTCTCCACTCAGAATTGTAAGGGTGTGGTTGCAAGGCCTATATCTATTTTACTAGAGGCATTTCTTACTGTGGTGTTCTGTTTGGTCTTATTAATCATAAGCCAAAACCTCCATACAAAGCAATAAAGCACATCAAAACCAGAACAACAGTGAAATGCTACGCTGTTACATATCGTTCTTAAGGTGTACTGACACTCTTCCAACTGTTAGTTTAAGAATGCACACACTTAAAATTCATCTTCAGTCAACTTCATGACAGTTAAAAAATTAAGAAGTATTGGCATTCATGCACTTGAAAAAATGCTGCTAATGAGTTTCACATCAAAATTCAATTTGTTCTTACAATGATGTGCTTGGTTTTCATTTGTAGACCTCACGGGACCTGGCATGCTTCATTCAATTTGAGAATATGAATGTTTATTATGGTTCTCAACACAAAGTGAAATATAAGGCACCTACAGATCACTGCTTTGTCTTAAAGGTAATGTACTAGAAAACTAAGTTCTGCAAATGTCCCACCAGTTTCTTTTATATGTAAACATATTTATGTTTGAAACTCCAGGGACCCTGATGAGATAAGAGCACCTTCTGCAAAATCATTTTCTATTTTCTTGTTGCTTCATTGTTGATCAGCAACATACCTTTAGAACCTGCATCTATAATGTTGTCTTTGAAACAAGCTTGAGCATGCTTCCTGACTGTTCAGGTGGCTGGACACACCTGGACAAATGGCACACAAGGCAGACGTAAGATGAGAGGACTGGAAGTCCCTGATGTTGAAATTATGAGCATTATGAACTATATACTAAAAAGTATGTCTACTTTTTATCTGCAGCGTAGTCATACCTGTTAAGTGGTTTGTTGAACTGAGGTGCAGAGTCTTGCAGGAAGAGACATCACAGATGGCATATTTTGTTGTACAGCTATTTGTGGCAGGAGAGCAAAAGACATTGTTCGCCCACTCATGAAAATCAGTTCTTGCTGTTGAAGTGTCTCATTGCTGCAGTAATAGCACCGCAAATAGGCTGGGAATTCTGCATTCCTCTTGGGAAAGGAAGAGAAGCCATGCTTTTCACATAGTTCAAAGAGCAGAAATGAAGTTTTGAGGTTGCAGGAATTAGGCATCGCTTGCTGTTTGTCATTAGTACAGATCGTAGAATACAAGTGGGATTACTGTGTACAAGATAGAAGATAACCTTGTTGCTGCTTTTCTATTTAAAGGCCAGCAATGCAAACAAGATGTTAGAAAACACCATATCTTGCCATCTCAGAAAAAATGTAGGGGAAACATTCACACCGGAGGTCACGTAAAGTCACATAGAGCACTCACAGCACTTTTTTATTCAGTTTCAAAATGTCTGCCGTCCTGATTTACACATGGCAAACCAGAAGTGGTTTATAGACCCAGACTTACTTTCTGAAGCAGGTGTATTCAGTTAACACAGATGAACAATTTTAATACTACATTTCTCCACAAAATACTCTGCAAAAAACACTTTGTCCTTTTTTGTGAAACGGGTGAGCCTTGTGAAGTAACAGGTAAGCTTTATTTCAGGAAAAGGGAACCTGATTTAAAAAAATAAGGAGAAATGGATTTTCTAAGCAGATGACTGGCCAAGGAAATATCTGGCCAATTTAATAACAGTTACGTTCTAGCAGATGAAAATAAAATCATGATTTTTGAATTGTATGTAGCAATGTGTTTAATTGTTCATAATAATCAGGAGAACTTTCTGGACTTACTGGCATCTTTGTTAAAAGAGGTATGCTATAATAAGAACTAACACTAAAAATGAAGTCACAGCTCAACTGAAATACGTGCTTTATTGGATGTGTGGTGCTAGCACTGTACCCTCAACATGAAATGATAAAAAAAAAGAACAAAAGCTTGCTAGGGAAATATTTATGTGTAATAGGCTTATAAATGTATAAAATCTACTTAGCAAAACTGTTTGCTCTGATGCTTCGGTATAAAATGTTTGCGGTATACTAGAATAAACATCATATTGGTAAGATCATTATACCTGACCAACACTACTTAGTGATGAATAGGTTATTATTACAGTGATTGTTCTTCATTTCAACTCTCACAAATCAGCATTTGATAGATTCCTGACTAGCTCAGTTCAGACTTAGCTTCTTTCAACAGCTATCTCTTGCAGTGGCTGGAGCTGGTCAGGAAATATGGGCAAATATTGGTATCTTCAAATCTTCTGTTGTTTCAAAAGTGGAAGCCTCCCCCTTAGGGTGGCTTTCTGAGAGTGATGCAGTAGAGAGTTTCATATTTACTATAATCTCTGTAATTAATTGAATTCTGTATATACCTTTTCAAAGGCATGCAGCTGAGGTGAGTTCTGTCGTATCCTTCTCTTACCTTTGGAGGTTGGAGCTGAGGATGTGGTACATCTTGAGATCTGTGGACTGAGATAAAGAGAGAAGTAGATGTTTCTTTTGCTGATTGGATGCTTGGTGACACAAAAGTGTGTGGACAGGAACATAGAGCCATTTATTATACTTAGTTACATTTTGCAGCTGTCTGGTTTTATATGGACGTCTCCCAGAAGAAAATATCATTCTGGGAGATGCTTGTCCTGAGATGTCAAAGGAAAACAAACCATCATCATTGAGACATTTCTCATCCTGCCATATATATATTGAAAATGAAGTCCTCAAGATAAAATTGACAGTACTTTTGCAGACAGGTGCTGTGAGCAAAAGGCAAAAAGTTTAACAGATAAAACATTTGTCTTTATTATACTGGTAACCTAGTAATTTGGAAGAAATTTGGATGCCCAGCTTATCCAAGCCAGATGCACTGCTGTGTCTTCACAGCTCTTCCATTCCCCCATGTGTGCCTCAGGACAGTGAGCTCTGCGGAGGTTCTCTTCCAGTTACTTGCTTGTGTTGGCTGCAGGAGAAAGTTATCTGTCTTTAAAGCAAATGGGGGAAAGTAATGGGAAGAGTAGCAGCCATAGCCCGTGCTAGCAGTTCACTGAGGATGGCAGTATATCAAGGAGATTTTCACATCTTGGAGAGCAGGTTATTCTACAGCCCTTGGTAGCTCCAGCAAGCTGTAACACCACGTGGGAAGGTTTTGAATAATAGCATACCACTAGGTTTTTCTAAAGAATTGCTGCTTTCTGAGGACCCCTTTAGGAATTACTGTGTCAAAGCAGTGAGCAGTCGTCAGCTGAGTTACTTCCTCTGCTGTGTTTCAAACTTAATGAAGGAAACTGCCCAGCTAAGGGGCAAGAGACCAACTTGTACTTTATAGTGCGGGAGAAATGCAAGGCCTTAGCAGCTTCAGCAGTATCTTGCTTCTGTGTAAGAACCATACATAATTTCCTAGCTTTGAGCACTGAGTTGAAAAAATGCTATCTTTATTTCTGACTGGTTAAGCTAATTGGCATCCTTACTTCAAGAACAGGGGAAATGTCCTCTGTGCAGTCAAATGGTAGCAACTGTTAAGATTCTATGATTCAAAGGCCAGTTAGGTGGGCTGATTTGGAGTTCACTGCTCTGAACTGTGTGGACTTTTGCTTCAAAGTCTTCAGTGACATTTCTTTGAATGTCATATCAGCTTGATCCCACTGAAGCGGATATGGCCTTTTTCTCCAGTTTCTTCTCTTAGGCTACAATTAAGTGAGGGGCTCACAGAGACTGTGAGACTTTGGTCCTAGTGTTTGTCCCACCTGACTTGCATCCAAATAACCAGGAGCTGGCAGTCCCTCTGTCCTGTTTGATTTTTAACCTAGCCATTTATTTCCAACTTCAGTGGTCAGAGTTAGCTGATGCTGGCTTGGGTATGGTGTTCATGTAGCGATAAGATCATGCACTTCATGGGCAGGTTGCTTTGGTATTTAGTCGAAAGCCAGGGTAGGTTATGCAGCCTATGATGTTGGATCTGCACCTAGACTAGCTATTTCAAACTAGTTGAAACAGAAATGTTCTTGTCTGCAGATCCATCCTGTAAGATGTTCGTCTTAGAGCTAGAGAAGCATGCAGTGTTGCGGATGCTCCTTGCCTATCACTTCTTCCCATTACATCAGCACCCCATTGTATATACTGTAGCTCAGAACAAAAAAGGGGTGGTTTTTTTGCTTGTTAACCATGAAGACACCGAGGAGGTAATGGGGAAGAGGGTGGTGTGCTGGAAGCCATTCAAAAGCACATCACAGTATCTACCAGCAAAACCAGCTCACTTTCCTGAGCTTACTCAGGAGTTTCCCTTTAGAATGATCCAGGAGACAGCTGCAATAACTGAACAAAGCAGTTACTTCCTCATATCAGGCCCTCTCAGGCAACAGAAAGCCCAGCTGGGACCAACTGAAAAGAGCACAGCTGGCTGGTTGGTGTCAGAGAGCAGGGTCACCTTTAGCTGTCCCTGTGCAGTAAATCAGAACTGATGTGCCTGTTCCCTGAGGATGAGAGTGCAGCGTTGCACTGATGGAGCTTTGGGGCAACTATAAAGCTTGAAGAACTGTTTTGTTTCCCAGTATCTACTTGGTCCATGCCAAGCTATAACCTTCTTAAACTGGACTCTTCTGTAGCACTGCTAAACAAGCCTTCCTCCCTCAAAGGAAGTCATGCATTTAAGAAGCAAAAAAAAAAAACAAAAAGAACCCTCAGCATACTAAAAATAGGGTGTCTGAATAAAATAATTAGTTTTGGCACATCTGTCCCAGTAAATATGAAGATTCTTCCTGTTGTCTGCTCAGCCTAAATGTTATGCTTACAAAAATTTAAAGATCCCACCCTTCACTTTGACATCAGATAAAGTGAGTATTTTCTTCATAGAAACCTCCATATGCAGGCAAAAGGAAAGGACAGCCAAGTGTGAAAGAAGACCCTTGCTCAAGCCTGCATCTGTTCAGGTCAGATCTGTCCCTCTGTTCCAGGCAGAGGAGGCAGGAGTGGGTACCAGCACAGCTCTTCCCCGCCATCCTGCGGAGAGTGCTGGCCATTCCTGGGAGAGAAACGGCGAGGGAACAAATACCTCCTTCATGGAAGAAGTAATTCCGCACACCACATACAGCAAGTGCACAGGTTGGAGTGGTTTGGTTCCTCACAGTCGCCTTTGCAAGTGCGAATCTGTATGTGTAGGTTCCCTGTCAGTCTCTTTCACCATCTACTATGTTACACGGGAAATGATGTGGAAATGGATGAGACCTTTTGTGATTTACTTCACATTACGGAGCTGAAAGCCCTCAAACCCAAGAGATTCCACCATGAAGGGATCTGTTCGTCATGCTAGTGATAGCATCTATTGCATCGAGCAGGAATTGTGAACGTATGGTTTATTTTGTGCATCGAGTATCTGTGTCTGTGTGTGTGTGCGCACATTAGTGCAGGAGCTGGTTTTTTGTCACACCATGTTGGAAAATCTTTCAAAGCAGACAAATAGCAAGGTAATCTATATGCAAATTTGCTGGTTTAGTCAGTCTGATGTGCCTGTGACAAAGAGTGGATTTAATTATAGTTTATTGGTGCTAGTTGTGCTTGAGTAATCTGGAGGTAATGGTGCATAATGCTGAATTAATCTAGGATGAAAAAAATTGGTTTCCTGGGGATAAACTGAGACAAAGGCAAATCATCCTCTATTCCCACAGCTGGGTACGTTTTTCTCTGCAGTCTAAACAGCAGAGTTTTCCTGGTGTCATCTGGAAACTATGAATTAAAAAAATATATATAATGATCCAAAGTAAATTTTGGAAGTAAATTTTCAAGAAGGATATCTTCTGTTTGCACCAGGGACGTCATTCCAGCAGGTAATTCAGAATCTAGTCACTGCATTCCTGATTCCCACCTCCCTCACACCCAGTACGCTCTGTGGCGGACTGAGTCATGTACGTAATGCATTCAACACAATGACAGTTAAGCAGGTAGAAGGTGAGAATTAGCAGTGTTTGAGATGGAAAATGGTAGGAAAACGATGCAGAACAAATGGCTTGTGCGGGGAATGAGGATAGAAACCAGGAGATTTTCTATTTGAAAGGTTTGAAAATTGTATTAGCACGAATGCTTCGGTCAAATATTGCAGAGTAAAATACATTACCAGAGAAACTAAAAAAGAAAAAGCAGGAATACTGTTTATTACGGAACACTTTCAGACATGCGAGATTACAGTCATAATGCATGCACACAGTTTTGCAAGATTAATGCATAAACAATGGGGAGAATATGGACAGAGAATGTACAGCGAGTAATGGATTATAATAGCTTTGGAAAATATTTGCTGTGTAAAGCAGTCCTGTTTGGTTACATTGGCTGCTACATATGTTTGTAATAACCTAAACGTTTTGCTTCAGTCATTAGAGAAATGTAAGCCAAAAGAATAATTTCCTTAGACTAGGGCAGTTGCTTTTTTATCTGTACAGCTCACACATGTCTTTAGATCAGTTAAGCCTGGTCATTTCAATGCAAGGAGCGCTTAGCATCAGAATTTGACCAAGTTTACTAGGAGATGGCAAATTTGAACCACTGGAGTATGATTTTTAAAAGGAGCTGAGTATTAATTTTACTTGCAGTCATGGGAGCCAGAGGAGTCTCAGCTTTTCTGAGAAGCTAACTCAACATAAACCAAGTTCATCACTAGAACGCATATAAGATATCCAAGAACATCGACCATTTTGGCCTAAAACCAAAGCTTTTGATCCAAGATTATGCTTCTGGCTGTTGTTTCTGCCTCAGAGACTGAGCAATGATCCATATATTTTGGGGCAAGGAATCCAATGAAATGCTGAGTAACTTCAGTTCAATTTTCATCATTAGTATAGGAAGAACACAAAGCAAAAGAACATTTTATTGGGATAATCTCTAATTTCATGCACACTTGGCCTGTAGTCATTTGTTTTGGCACAAACCATAGAAACCACATTGTTCAGTTCTCGTTTCTTCGGGGTTTCAATGTGTTCTTATCTTTTTCTTCCTTAGGCAGAGAGTTTATATCTGAAAATGTAATCTGTGCACAAATATTTTTTTTAAACCGATCCAAAAAAAGAGCTTTTTATGTCCACAAGTGTTTCTGCTTTCTTTATCTCTGGACAGTGATGCTCAGAGAGGAGACAGTGGTCAGAGAACACTGGATCGTGTTCCAAACCTTTTCAGGGCTTTTCCAGGTGGAGCACAGCACATCCTTTTGCTGCCTGGTGTTTGAGGTACTCAGGCCTTGATATGTAACTGGAAAGAACCAACAGTTCCAAAAATCGGGCCCCATGATGCAACTAATTCATCAGTACTGAGAGTTGTGACACTGAGGGAGAAAAAAGTTTGCTGTAGTCAAATTATGTTGCATTTTAATACAGTGTATTGTTTCAAAGCACTGCTCCGTTTTTTTTCTGTGAGAAAAATTCTGGCTTCTGTTTCTACTTGCATATTGCCACTTTTCATTCAAACTGTGACTCTGTGGTTGCTTTTTAACC